TTTTCGCTTAAATGTATAAAGTTAGTCGAGTCCTACATAGTATTTTTTTATATGAAACCCGTATGTCTACCTGTTTCTTTGGGATCCGTCTTGTTTCACTACGCGTGAGCTGGTCCTCGGGACAAGCAATATCTCAGTGCCTTCCTATTCTCCTACAATGCATGTATTCAGTTCAGCTCATCCTTCTTCTATCTAGCGGGAAGCCTCGAGGGACTACACCAGTGGCAGCGGAAAGCGAACCCGACCATTTTTAATGGCTTCCATCCTATTATCTACTCTTTGTGATGCACTTATGGTGCGAAGGAAGCGCCTACATCTCAATGGATGGAAAAGAAAGTTTCCCTGAATTCTTCAGAGGTGGTACCTGAATGATACCCGCGTTCGGCTCCACAGAACCGAAGCGAAATCGCCTTTAACCACTTAAAAATGCATCGAATCAAAATTTTCCGTACTTCAGCCATGCTCAGGCGTTGGACATTATGCTACTTCAAACATGCTTACACACTGGACTGTTTGGTTCCATCTCCTCTGTTAACATCTGTTTTGACCAGTGTATCAATGTCTAGTCCTGGATACAATTCATGGTCCGCAGATTCAGGCGGTCCTGATTCCTGCTACATGTCCCGGTTACATGATAACTGGCGGTTACTGTAGCATTCGACTTACCTATGTACGCGTTGAATTTGCGTTCAAGTTGTGCCAAAACCCCATAACTTCTTTTCTTAGAATACTTATTCTGCCCGATGTAATGCCTTCTTCTGCCTAACATGCTTTAATCAAATACTTGTTACTTTTATTTATGGGGGATTTATTAAATGCTCCTGTACATACTGCACTAATGAAAATTTACCTGCTGTTCTGGATTGCTCTATGACAACTAAAAACATAGTTGCGTTTGTAAGGACATTTTTAAAATGTTTTAGTTTGATTCTAACTACATATTTTATTTTATGCAAATCTTTCCTTTTATTAATTGCTTTATTTGTGCTGCGCCTTTCAAATCTATCGGCGGTTGAATTAAGTTAGCGTGATTATGAAGCTCGTGAGGTATTTTTGCTTCGTATTTGAGCCATGCTGATTTATCTTGCAAAATAAACCATGCAATTAATTCTCATTTAGATTTCTTATGAAATTAAATCACGAGACTGTTACAATTGAGCTTAAAAATGGCACGCAAGTCCATGGTACTATCGCCTGTGTTGATGTTTCGATGAATACACATTTGCGTTCGGTCAAACTTACCATGAAGAACGAGGAAAGTATCAATATGGATACTCTTACCGTCCGTGGCAATAATATTCGCTACTTTATTCTACCAGATACTCTTCCTTTGGACACGCTTCTAATCGACGAGGGTCCAACTAAGCGCAAACCACGAAAGGAGAACAGTACGGTCGCTTTCCTTATTCCAGTAATTTCTAGTTCTTTCCTCAACTCGCGGTCGTGGTCGTGGGATGATTCGCGGAAGGGGCAGAGGGGGTCCACGTGGACGCGGTCGTGGAGCTCCGATTCGGAGATAAACTTCTCGTGTTGTATGTTTCACCGTCTGTACAAAGCTAACGTACATCGTGTTTTAATAAAGTCTTCTATTTGCTGATGTTTTACCTCATTAAGTTCAAAGTTCCATTTGTCAGCTTACTGGTTTTCTTGGTCTCTGATGAATTCTAATCCAGATCTCGATGTCGAGTCCTCCCTCAATGTTGTGGGAATCTCCTTTACATCTGACAGTCCTGCAGCAATGTTTTTTTTCGTTCATCTGTTGACATTTCTCGAAGAGTTGACGTTGGCAATCGGTCACCTAGTGTTTTTGCATGGCATTTACAATGTTCTTCCATCAGGCTGTGGAATGTTCCCATTCTCAAGCGTCTCGCGTGCGATTTATCTGCCTACCCCTTATCCTTTGGTTGGTATACGGACTACTGAAGTTCTCCATGCGTGTTTCACCGGTTTCTTATATAGGTAGCCCAATTTATGTAACCGGTTTTTCCTTGCAATTGGACCTGAATGAGTAGTCTCTACCGTATCGGATGGTCTGATTGGAAACAGTGAACGAAAAATAAAGAAGCGGAGTTTTGTTGGTTTGCACT